AGGAATAGGCCTTTTTCCTTGCAAATCCCGTTAGCTCTCTCTGTCACTTGTTTTGTTTTCCTGACTTCAAAAGCTGCATTAGCATCATGCTCTGGGAGCTGAGAGCAGGCTGCAGCTGTGACATCTCCTCACTTGTGTTTCAGAGCTGAAGCAGGCAGCTGGGGCTGCTGAGAGCAGCAGTGGGGAATCAAGTGATGAGACATCCTCTGAGGAGGAGCTTGCAACTCCAGAAAGCCAGGTAACCTTTCCAGCCCCATTCCTTTGTTTCTAGGAAATCACATTCCTTCCCTTGAAGGAGAGAGGACACACTGCAATGCTCTATTTTGACAACACCCCCTTCCCTGGGTGTGTGGGATCCCCAAACCCAAGGCCAGAGAAACACACTGTGTGGCTGAGAGCCCACTAACCCCTGCCAGCATCAGCTGTTCCATCCCAGTTCCTCCTAGGGCCTGAAATTGAGGGAGATCCTTTGATCTGTAGGAGGTGATTGGTGTGCAACTCCACAGATGGAGTCAGGCTGCAGAAAGTGCTTTGCTTCAGATAGTCCACAGGCCATGGAACTGAACAAGCCCATCCTGATCAAAGTTGTCAGGGTTGCCTTCCTTAAAACAGATTCCATGCAGTTACAGCTCTTAACTGGTTTCTTGTGAGCTGTTACGTGATCGCTCTGTTCCTTTTTGTTCCCTCTGCTCCCAGGCAAAACCAGCTACAAAACCAGCGCAGGTTACTGCAGAACCTGTGAAAAGTGCTCCTACTGCTTCAATGTCCCTCAAGAAGAATGCAGTGAGGCAAACAGCAGCAGCACCAAACCAGACCAAACCTGCATCCACAGCAGTTCCTGGGGCTGCAAAGCCCGATGACACCTCAGAGAGCAGTGACTCCTCAGACAGTGAAGATGAGGAACCTCCATCAGTAACACAAGTATGTCTGTCCAGGACTCATGTCTTTCCTTGCTCACCTCCAGGGCTGGGAATTGCAGTGAAAAAAAAAATGTTTTAAATGCATGTAGTGCAAAGTCATGATGGGGACAGGAGAAAAGAGGCTTGGGGTGTTGAAAGGCACCTCAGTGTCTTTGCTCTGAGCCTTCATTAAGCCATTGTACCTTTCTTTAAAAAAAGTTATATATATCCACTAGTACTTTTAAATTAAAAAGAGCCCAGCAATTACTTTCCCACCTGAGGAGGCAAATTGTCATAGTTGAATTTGCCTCTCAGCTATAAATTGCAATAAATAGTATCTAATTTGTTGAACTCTAGTGCAGCTTAGCTTCCCTGCTGTGGAGAGTGCAGAGTTCTCCAGTGTACCTCACTGGAAGGGACTGGTAGCATCAGCAGGCTGATGAGCAATGTCTGGTCTTGCTTTCTTGTCTTTGGAGACTCCCCCCACACAGCTAGATGAAAGGAATCCTTGTGGTTCCTGCCAGTTTCTAATCGGCCTTCAGCATTTGCCTTTCCCAGGGGGCTCTGAAATCTCTTCCCTTGGTTACAGTCTGAGCAAATAAATGATGCTGCTGTGGGATTTGCCTCGTTTCATGCTGTTCTTATCTTGTCCAGACAAAGCCACCTCCAAAATCCTCCCAAGCCGTCCCACCCCCAGTGAAACCTACACCAGCAACATCACTCTCTGGCAAAGCAAATCCGGCAAAAACGCTTCCGCTGTCCCAAGGGAAGCCAGCCCCAAAACTGGGAGTGCCACAGCAGGCCAAAACCAAGCTGGGAAAGACCTCTGCTCCTGCAAAGCCTGCTGAAGGCACAAAGTCAGCAGAGAGCTCCGATTCCTCAGGCAGTGAAGAGGAGGATCTCCCTGTGCCCATCAGCCAGAAGGTGGGTGATACTGCATCCAGCCCAGTGGCAGGGGATGGGATACTCAGTATAATTGTTTAGCTCTTAAATGCTACCACTGCTCTCCTTGAAACACCAGTAGCATGGAGTATGTTGTGTCTTGGTCCTTCAGAGAGCAAGATCTTTCTTCCTACCTGGAAACAAGTATAGTCTACTTTTCACCCAGCTGTAGCAGAGGTCTAACCTACTGGATACCAACTGGTTGGCTCCACTCATGTCTTGCCTCTCTGGAGTGAGCCTTGGGTGCAGGGTCACAGATAGCTTGGTCTTGGCTCTCCTGTGAGGGTTTGTTTAGAACTCTCTTGTGAGAAGGACCACGAACCCAACCTGGATTCAGGTGGCTGAATCCCTAGGGAGGCAAATCCCTGAGGGCATCCTTAGGCCTATGGTATGGAGACTTTCTGTGTTGACTCTGAGCTGCAAGGATCTTTGGGAAGTGCCCTGAATGCAGCATTTTGAAGTTGGCAGCTATTATCTGCTGGGGAGGAAGGGAAGCTGGGGGCAGAGCCTCACGTGTCCTTGCAAGGAGGCTCTTTGTCAACACGTCCTTTTGCTATTGACAGGCAGGAGCCAGAGAGGCTCTGCATTTTTGTCTTTATAGCCTTGGCCTGCTCAGGTGGGTGGAGGGGGACGCATCTCTAACAGTTGGCTCTGTGCTGCTCTTCCTGCATGATTATATGTTAAGATTCAGCTCTGGCTGGCAGGAGCAGCCATTCTGGTAGCTGTGCCGTGGGGTCTTACTGGGAAACTGTTGACACTTATCCACTCCAGCAGAGTTGTAGGTGAAGGAACCTGCCGGGGTGGGTTTGTTCTCCTCCAGTGTTGACTTGAAGCTGGCAGCAGTAGGTAGCCATCTTGCTGACAGCCATTTAACCACTTCAGCATCTTCCCTCTTGCAAACTGGCGATTATCCCTCAGCAGCCACAGTCCTCAAGGAAGAGCTTGTCATCCAGAGAGCTCTATTTTTGCCAAGCAGGCTGTTTCTTCCCATGGTAGTATCCTGCAGGCAGAGAGAGACCACGAGGGAAGCCTGAAGATAGACTGCTAGGCTTAGCTGTGTCCACCATCCCGTCCTCCCAGTCAAACTCTTCTTAGCTCATCCTCACCATCTGCTACTTGGGCATATGGTAACTACTGACTTACTGTATCCTGCAACTTCCTCTGGCTTCTGTGCAAGATCCAAACAGATACAGAGCGTTGGAAGCAGCTTCTTCTTTCCCTGTGGGGGTGGATTAGCACAATTAAAATGAACATCATGCTTAAATTGAACTGCTTAATTGGTATGTTTACCCCCGAAGACTTAGGAATATTTAGTGAAAGAAGTTGACATGGTGTTTCTATGTTTGGGGGGAGGAAGGCTGGTGATGGGGGACAGTCTAGATTGACCTAAAAGATGCTGTGAGCTGCCCTTCTTCTGGAACTGTTAATTCTGCTCTGCTTCTTCTGTCTTGGATGTTCTGAGCCAAAGATGGCACACGAGCCCTCCATGGACAGGCTGTGGCTTCTGCTTGCCAGGACTGGGGTGAGATGCACGTGCATGTGCATGTTGGGAACCTGGTCTTCCTTAAGCATCCCAGGAAGTTGTGCCTGCAAGTTTTCATCATGGACCACAGGCCCTGTGGGGAGAGACCCAATGTCCTAAGAGATGGAAGGTCTCTCTCCCTCCCTGAACCCTGTCCCTGCTCCCTTGCAGGTGGCAGTCCTACCTTTGTTGTGTTGTGACACAGCTGAGATACTGGTCTCAGTCCTGATCTGCTGGTGGTGCTTCCGTGGTGCACAGGCAGCCAGGGAGTGTGGTTGTTACAGTGTTCTCAGAGTGATTGTTAGAACGTGCTGGGTGCACGTGGCTGGGCGATGTTTCCCCCCTTGTCATGCAGAGCTGCATGATGCAAAGGGAGCTTCGAGTGGCAGATGGGCTGTGCAGAAGCTGAGTCATCACACACTGAGCCACAGGCAGCTCCTGGCTTGGGGGCTGGAGAGGGAGCAGGAAAAAATATTTCCTCTTGAATTCTTTTCCTCCTCTCTGAGTTACTTCGGTACCTGTGACTTGACTTCTCAGAAGCTCTGCCTGTGGTGTTTTGCTCCCTGATGCTGGCCTGGTCCCACACTGTAGGACACCTGCCAGCCACCTGGCAGTGACCAAGATTAAGTCAATGGAGGGACCTCCCAGAAAGATCTGAGGAATCCTGAAGCTGTGTAAAGCTTATGGTGGTTTCTCTGTGGATGCTCTTATGTTCTTTCTGTGTCAGGGTGCCTCTGTGGCAGCTCTTCCTCAGTCTCCTGCTAAGGTAGAAGACAAAGCATCCCTTGAACCATGCATCTGAGCAGAGAGAGAAACCAGTCCCATGGCTATGAAGGTCTTAAAAGTGAGCAGGTGGGGTCTGATCTTGGTAGGCTGTTCCATTGCACAGCAGTGCTTGGGAGAAGAGGGAGAAGAGCTAGCTTGTTGGAGTAGAGTGTGTGAATTGTGCCTGCTTCAAGTAGTTCTCTCTTCAGCATTGCCAATCTGGCCTCTCTCCTGGAGATAGTGACTCACTGGTATCAAAACAAGTGAGGTTTGCAATCCCCCCTCTCCCCAAGTGCTGGTGGAGGTTTCTGTTTCTCTAAGCGGAGTCAAAATGTGCTTGGCTTGTTCAGAGAACTGTTCTGTGGTGGGATTTACATGCAGATGCTGTTGTCTGTTTAGTGTTTGTCTTGGAGATGATAAACACTGCCCCAGTGGCAGCCTTCAGTGGGGTTGTGCCAGGACATGTGGTAAGATCTGTCCTCTTAGAAGGCTCCTATGCTGGTGCTCTAGGCTCCTGGCCAGGAGCATCACCCTGGTGGGCTGGAGCTGCTGAAGTCCTCCTGGTCCTCTGCTGCAGGTTGAGAGGGGGTATTGCTGCATTAGCATGGCAGGGCTGGGAAAGGGGGTTGACAGGGGCTGTGCAGCTGGGCAGGAGTCTCCCTGCCTTCTTGCAGGGGGGCTGGAGACCAAGCACTGCGTGGAGCTGCTGTCACGTGCAGGTTGGATGGGGTCTGCCTGCCTTGGCAAGTGTGGTGTGCTCCTTGTCAGAGCAGCCCAGAGATGAGCCATGAGTGCAGTAAACTGAGTGGGTGCAGAGCATTGCAAGCCTGAAGAATATCTATGAGTGGTGAAGTTACCCCATCCCTTGGCAAATGTTCCCCCTCTCACTGGTACCCTTAGCAGCATGCAGGAGAGGGGAGTCTGCAGCCTTCAGCCCAAGCCAAGGAGAGGGGCTGGGAAGAGGTCTTCTCACCTGGCCATTGTGTACCTGTTGCTGAATAACCAGGGCTTCCTTGTGCTGAAACACCAGCTGACTGGGACAGTGGCTGATGGTCCTGGGACATCAGAGTGTTGAGGGGTGCTGTAAAAAGGCACAGTGCACGTGAGTTGAAGAGTTGGGATTTTTTTGCCAGGACACATCTCTGGTGTTGGAACTAGATGTCCTGTTGACAGAGAAGTTTCTAAGGTGGATCCCAGCCTGCCCTCTGTGTCCCAAAATCCTCTTGTCTCCACTGACCTCTCCAGCAGCTCTGGGGTGTAGCTGCTCATACGGACTCTTGCAAGAATTTTGGCAGAAGGTTTCCCAGCTCCTGCTGATTCCCCCAGCTGGGGGGAGGTTGTGCTTAAATTCCATGGAATGGGGGTCTCAGGGTAGCAGTAGTTCTCCTGCCTTCAGGCTGCCATCCAGCCAGTGTCTTGGCCTCAACAAGGAATTGTTGTTAAGAGCTCACGAGCACTATTAGTCCTGCATGCTCGTGTGGTAAAACACGCTCGGGCTTCATGTCAAAAGCCAATTGCTAAATGCAGTGGTATGTGCCTTCAGCACCTCTGTCCAGGCAGTAACTGAAGCCCCTTTCAATCTTTACATGCCAGCTTTGGAGTGAGTGTTAAGAAACAGCTGTGTTAGGTTAAAACAAAACACAGCTTGAGCTGAAACTGCACTTAAACTAAACACCACCTGTACTAATACCACATTTCTGTGCCTGTGTTTCTTTTTTGTTAAGAGGATAACAGAACAGGCTGGGCCTGTTCCCAGCCTGAGCCAGGCTGCTAAAGCTGGGCTCCCTGAAAAAGCAGTGGGAAGCACCTTGAAAAGCCAAGTCTCAGAAAGTGGGAGCAGTGACTCATCTGACAGTGAAGAGGAGTCCCCTGCAGCACAGACACAGCCTCCGCAAGCTGGTGAGTCTCCTGGTATGGTCAGGATCCCTCACCTGCATCTGCACGGATTTCCTTCTCTCCCCTGCATGTCCACAGCCCAGCCTGTTGTGCTAGCTCCTGCTCTGGGCAGCCATGCAGAGCACCTCTCTCATGGTGACAATTCCTTCTGCTTTTCCTGCAGTGAAAACCAATGCTGTGCCCCAGCCAACAAATGTGAAGAAAGGACCAGCTCCAGCACCAGTGCCAGCCCCTGTGCCAGCCCCTCCACCCGTGGACAGCAGCGATGATTCCAGCGAGGAGTCCGATTCAGAGGAGGAGATGGTTCCCCCTTCTCAGGTGAGGAGCCACTGGGTGTGGATGCTGTTAGTCCTGCATGCTCAGGAGGTCTCAGGGCTTGCAAGGTGGTAGTTGGGTGGGTGATGAGCAGTGCAGAGAGGAGCCTCCTTTTGGCTTTGTCTGATCTTCTTGGCATCATCCCAGGGTCTCACTGAATCCAGCTCTGGGTGCACAACTCGGCTGTAGCAAGTTTGCAGTGTGTGAGAGCAGTGAAAGGTGAGAATGGTTTGCCAGGAGCATGAGTAGACACATGAGCCCAGACCTCCTCTGGGATTCTGTCCTGTTTGCCCTGCTCCAGGGAGTTAGACTGGAAAAGCAGCCAAATCCTTGCAGGCAGAGTCTTTCCATGAGCTTGGTAGCTCTGAGGCAACCCATCCTCCAATTTCTTCCAAACCCTTGGGTGTGGCTAGAGCTTTCTGGACCCCCATTCCACAAGCCTTGGGAGGCTGGAAGGCTCTGCCCTGAAGTGGTCCTGCTGCCTTTCAGTTGCAGAAGCCAGACTCCTGCCTTGGAGACCCAGAATCTGTGCTGAGACGCTGCTGAATGTTGTGAAGCTCATCCCAGCTCTCTCACCTGAGTCTCTTTGTGTCACATCTCCTCATGCCAGTCCCACAGGGCTGTGGCTGAGCTCCCAAGGGCAGGAGCTGCCTGAGTGAGAAGCTGGCTGGGGTGTCTCTGCACTTCTGCTGCATTTTGAGCCTGAGAAAGAAACCACATGAAGAAGCATTGACTGAGGAATGTGGCTACTGTTCCTTTGTGGTGGTGGTGGCTTGGCTGGTGCTCTGAGCCCAGGCCTTAGAGGCCAAGTGTGCTTCTTGTCCTGCACTCATGTGTCCCGTGTTTCCAGCTCCCTTCCTGGGAGAGGGGGATTATGTGCACTCAAGAAAACCCTTCCCTGTGTTGGCCTGATGCTGTGGCCAGTGGAAAGGCTGTCTCCCCCCAGTTGGTGGGCCAGCAGCCAGCCTGCACAGGCCTTGATTAAAGTGTGTTTATAGAACCAAGATTGTATAAAATAAGGCAGTTGCTGTAACTTGAGCTGTGTGTGAGAGGGCAGGGAGCTCGCGTCGGGTTGGCGGCTCCGCACGGTGGAGCGTTGCCTTCTTTTCTGAAGGCCAGATGTTGTGTGAGGGAAATGTCAGCCCACAAAGGCCCAGCTTGTCAGGGATCTGGAGAGGGAGGGCTGCTCACATAGCTTCAGTTGTAACACAAACCAGGAGGCTGTGCACTCCTTCCTTGCTCCTGCTCCCTCCTCTGCTGGCATTTGTGTCTTGGACCTGATGTCAGTGTCTTGATTTCCATGCCCCTGGCTCTTCTATTTTTAACCCCTCTTACATTTAGTTTGATGGGAGGTTTCAAATGTGAGGCAACAAAATTGCTTCTCGTTGATTTGCTCTCTAATGGTGTCTTTGCTTTGTCTCTGTTGCCAATTATCTCGTGACGTGTGTTTTTTTTAGAGAGTAGGAGATATCCTGGAGTTCGAGTGCCCACTTTGCAAAGCAGGGTTTCCAACTGCAGTCTTGCTGCTGCTGCAGTGCTTAGGGATCTCCCAGCCTGCAAGCACATCACATTTTGCCTGTCTGCCCTCAGGATGGGTGCCTTTGGGGCACTGAGCTAATGCTTTAGGCACTCCCGGGGTGCTGGCCCTCACTTCTCTGCTCCTGGCTGTGCCAGAGGCCCTGCTCAGAGGCTTGTAGGAGGCAGCTGGCCTGCAAAGGGGAAAAAACCCAAATGTGAGTCTTGGTGCTGTGCTGAAAATGATGGAAGGGCTCAGGAGTTAGTGGTGGATTGGTGTATGCTTCTGGCTCTTTTCCCTCCCAGGTTGTGCTCTGTCCTCATTTTCTTTGTCATCTATTTTAGAGTCTGCCCCAGCAGAATGTCAAAGCAACAAAGGTTTCAAGTGCAGTGGCTGCCAAGGTTAATGCCACCTTGCCTGTGGGGAAGGGGGCAAAAGCACCCACTGTAGCCCCCATTAGCAGAGATTCCCAGAGCTCCAGCAGTGATTCCTTAGAGCACAACAAGCTGGCAGGAGAGGTAACAAGGGGGGGGAGACTCAAATGGGGAGCTTCCCTGGGGAGAGGAACCTTTGCTGTTCCTGTCTTCCAGCTGGCTGCCAGGTTTCTTCCCTCTCTAGTGATAGCAGTGCCCTTTACAGTCAAGAGTTGTCTGTTTAGCCAGAGCTGCCTGCTTCATTGTGGGCTGGGGAGAGATGGGAGTCTCTGTGCCCTGCATGAGAGATTCTTGGACTAACCTTGACCCAAACTGGAGCAGAATAGCTGAAGAAGGGCTGAGGTGATCCAAGTCCATCTGCTCTGGGCTCCTTCATGTAGTTGATTGGCATCAGCAGTTATTCTTCCTTCAGATGCATTTCATCTTCTTTCTTCTGTAGGTCCCCGCTCCTCCTTCCCTAAAGCAAACGGTTCCCATGGGAAAAGCTCCTCCAGCCAACACTGCTGTCCCACAGACTGCTTCACCTCTGGGAAGTCCCACCACCAAGTCAAGGAAGCCAGGCCTGCAGCCAGCGCAGGGCGCCCGGCTGAACCAGGTTGTGCCACCCACCCAGGCAGAGGAGACCTCAGACAGTAGCAGTTCCTCAGATAGTGATGAGGAGGAGAAGCCCAAGCAGCCCCGCAAACCTGGTCAGTTCCACTAAGAAGATGCTCTCAATGTTGCTGGCCAGGTCAGGGTGGGAATACTGTTCTGTTATCCTGTGGGCGGTGGGTCACCTTCATGTAGTGCTTGGAGAGGGCTTCCTCTGCTCCAGCTTGGCAGAGCACTCCCCTTTCTTTGGAGGCAGAAGGCCTTTTGGTGGCAGGAACTGCAGTGGGGTAGGTGAGCTCAGCCCCAGGCAGCAGTGGTGGGTTTAATGAGGTGAATTCTGCTCCTCCAGCAGGTTTGCAGCAGAAACCAGGAGGGATCCAGCCAGCCCAGAGCTCCTCAGAGTCCAGTGAGGAGGAGGCAATGTCACAGGTATGGTACTGGTGCACGCTGGGATCCTCTGGGGTCTGGCAACTGACTTCTAGGTAGGACAGAGAAAGGGCTGAATTCTCAGACGAAGCCAACAGGGTGCTGAGTGGGTTTGGCAGCACAGAAATGGGGGCTCCCCAGTGCAGTGCTGTGAGCAGGGCCTTTTGGTGGGGGCAGAAAGAGACTTCTGGACCTGGAGTTCTTCCCCAGGCAGCTGTGCCTTGGGTCCAGGGCTTATGGTGCCTTCTCCAGGAAAAGGAATGGGAGATGGTGCCTTGCAAGGGTTAAACCAGGAGAACAGTGCCAATAGCAGCAGGATTTTTTTCCCCACTTTTATGTGTAACTTAACCCATGTCCAAGCTATTAAATTCCCTTTGTAAGTGACGTGCAGGGCGTGCAGCACATCTGCAGTGCATTAGCTGTGCCTGGGTGCACACTCATGGCCAGGAGCCTCCCCCAAGCCTGTTTTACTGGGCGAGAACAAAGAGGAGAGACCCTCTCACGCTCAGCTCTTGCTGCTGTAAGCTCAGCCAGCATCTGGCAGTGCTGCCCCCCCCTCTCCTGACAGCGCTGCCATCTCTGCAGGGCTGGCTGAGGGGTGCAGGATCACTCTGTGGGTGTCCAAAGATGAGTCCTTCACTTGGAGTATGGGGGCAATAGCAGCAGAGACAAGCAGTTCCTCAGATAGTGATGAGGAGGAGAAGCCCAAGCAGCCCCGCAAACCTGGTCAGTTCCACTAAGAAGATGCTCTCAATGTTGCTGGCCAGGTCAGGGTGGGAATACTGTTCTGTTATCCTGTGGGCGGTGGGTCACCTTCATGTAGTGCTTGGAGAGGGCTTCCTCTGCTCCAGCTTGGCAGAGCACTCCCCTTTCTTTGGAGGCAGAAGGCCTTTTGGTGGCAGGAACTGCAGTGGGGTAGGTGAGCTCAGCCCCAGGCAGCAGTGGTGGGTTTAATGAGGTGAATTCTGCTCCTCCAGCAGGTTTGCAGCAGAAACCAGGAGGGATCCAGCCAGCCCAGAGCTCCTCAGAGTCCAGTGAGGAGGAGGCAATGTCACAGGTATGGTACTGGTGCACGCTGGGATCCTCTGGGGTCTGGCAACTGACTTCTAGGTAGGACAGAGAAAGGGCTGAATTCTCAGACGAAGCCAACAGGGTGCTGAGTGGGTTTGGCAGCACAGAAATGGGGGCTCCCCAGTGCAGTGCTGTGAGCAGGGCCTTTTGGTGGGGGCAGAAAGAGACTTCTGGACCTGGAGTTCTTCCCCAGGCAGCTGTGCCTTGGGTCCAGGGCTTATGGTGCCTTCTCCAGGAAAAGGAATGGGAGATGGTGCCTTGCAAGGGTTAAACCAGGAGAACAGTGCCAATAGCAGCAGGATTTTTTTCCCCACTTTTATGTGTAACTTAACCCATGTCCAAGCTATTAAATTCCCTTTGTAAGTGACGTGCAGGGCGTGCAGCACATCTGCAGTGCATTAGCTGTGCCTGGGTGCACACTCATGGCCAGGAGCCTCCCCCAAGCCTGTTTTACTGGGCGAGAACAAAGAGGAGAGACCCTCTCACGCTCAGCTCTTGCTGCTGTAAGCTCAGCCAGCATCTGGCAGTGCTGCCCCCCCCCTCTCCTGACAGCGCTGCCATCTCTGCAGGGCTGGCTGAGGGGTGCAGGATCACTCTGTGGGTGTCCAAAGATGAGTCCTTCACTTGGAGTATGGGGGCAATAGCAGCAGAGACAGATCTGTGTGCCTAGTGTTTGGGAGGTGCCCTGCTGTGATTCCTCAGCATGTCTCTGCTCTTTCAGTCCCTCCTTACAAGCTATCTGGGCCTCTCCAGTACCACAGCAGCACCTCAGGCATCAAAGACAGTTCCTCCCCAGCCTGCAGGCAAAGTGGAGCAAGGGAAGGCAGCTGTGACTGCTGCCAACTCCTTTCCCAAGGCCTCTGTGAGAGCAGCCCCAGCCAACGGCTCCAGCAGTGACAGCAGTGACTCCGACACCGACATCGACCAGGTGGCTGCAAACCACAAAGCAGGTGGGTTTCCTTTGGCAAAGCTGGGAATGGGCTTGGCCCAGCAGCATGGCCCTGCTGGCATAGGGAGGGTGACACTGGGAAGGGCCCCCATTCCCAGCCTGTCTGCGCCACAGAGCCCAGCCGTGGAGTGCTGCTGCCGTCTGCTGGCTTCCCCTGCCACCACAGCCTCCCTGGACACCCCTTCTGTGCTGGCTGCTTGCAAGGCTCTGCTTTTGCCTCTTCCAAGTTCTGCTTTGACTGCAGTAACTAATGCAATTAATGGGAGTAGGTAGGGCTCTCCCTAAAACCTCTGCCCACCACACTGGTGTGCTGTGGTAGTGATGGCTCCTCAGGAAGGAACATTTGAACACTAGCTGAAGAACATCTGGTGCCATGCAGTGCTGGTATTCCAGCCTCCCCTTGTATTTTCTGGGCTCTGTAGTGTGTCTGAGGGCAGAGGAAGGGAAGCAAGTGGGAAGACCTGTGGAGAAATGAAGTGTCCTGACATTTCCCTATCACCTTTTTGTTGGCAAATTGTCAGACTCTTAGCTGGAAGCTGTTTCTGCTCTGATGTGACCCTGGCACCTTCAGATGGGCTCTGGTCTGGCTGAGAGCTCTGGCCTGCTCTAGAGGCTCACAGGGGTCTTTTGGCACGTCAGTAAGTTGTGCAAAGGGCTGTTTAGAAGGTGAGAACTATAGATTCAAGAAGGCCAAGGTGCTGGAAGGTAGGCCATTGGTGATGGTTAAACATGGTGGAATGGATACCTCCTCCACCTTGGGAAGTCTCTCCCTCACTGGGACAGGTGTCCTGGGGAAGGAATACTCTATGCTTACCTGTCTGGAGATACAGTTTCCTTTGGTCTAGCCCCTGTTCTCCGTGGATGTGCCCAAAGCTGTTGTGGCTGTTGTCACAGGTTCCCTTGGCAGATACTTGATCTCAAGCTGAAGCACCTTTCTCTAGCTCTGCTGTAATTGGGGTGGCCAGCAGAACTGGATACTCCTCTTCCAATGCATATTTCCATCCTCCAGTAACTCTGTGGTCTATATAACAAGTGCTCCCTGACTTTTTTTCTCTCATCACTGTTTCCACAGAAAACAACCTCCCTCCAAAGCAGGAAGTCACTGGAGCCTCCAACAAAGAGAAGGGGGCACAAAAAACAAAGCCAGGTCATGCCAGCCTCAAACCTCCCCCAGCCAAGAAAGCCCTGACTGTGAAAGAGAATGATGTTGGGGCAAAAGGGGCACAGGTGGTCCCAGCATCACATGCAGTGTCATCCATCCCACAGTCAGAGGAGTCAAACTCAGGGAGCGAAACAGAGGTCACTTCTGCTGCCAAAGTTCCTGTAGTGCAAATGCTGGAAGGGTTGGAAGGGAAAAAGAAGAAGAAAAAGGAGAAAAAAGAGAAGAAGGAAAAGAAGAAATCTTCCTCCACAGCAGACAAGGCTGTGAAAACATCTAAGAGCAATGACAAAGAGAATAAGAAGCAGAAAACATCTCAGAAGCAGAAACTGCCAGGAGAGGATGGGGCTGTTGGGCAGCCCAAGGAGAAGAAGAGGAAAGGGCAAGCTAATGAAGAAGTACCCAAAAAGAAAAAGAAAAAAGCATCTGGTGACATGGAGAAGCTGCCAGGCAGCAAGGAAAAGAAAAAATCAGCTAAAAGTAAGCATCCCTCACTTGGGCTGCATTGGCAATAGGTTCTTGCAGCTGATGCACGTTCAGCCTCTGGTGCAGGGCCTTGTAAGTAGCACCCACTTTCCCCTTAGCTTCTTGCTTGGCTGCTTCCCTCTTGACCCACCCAAAGCCTATGCCAGATTTCTAGCCCCCCACCTCAGTGTTTTTCTGCAGTCTCGGCACCAGGTCTTGTTGCAGACCTAAAGCTGGGCTCTCCAGCCCTTTGTCCTGTGTCCAGCACAGTGAGAACTATGTTAATACTTGCTCTGATCCTTGCTGCTTGTAGAGCAAAGCTGGTGTCCCTGTGCATCTTCTATGGCATGACCTGTCCCTTCAGGACTTTGTCCTTTCCTGGCCTTTACCCTGGCTGGAAGTGGCTGAGGGCTGGCAGAGGGTTGAGGTGAATCTGTGTTGAACCTCCAAGGCCCCTTTGCCCCCTTGCATGGCCTGCCATCCTGGGCAGGGCTTGGGAGAGTTCCTGCTAGCTGTCAGCCAGGAGGCCTGTGCTTTGCCTTCTGCCCTGCTCTGTGTCTGCAGGGTGGAATTGCTCTGCTCACCCAGTCCTGGCTCCTCTATGACAAACACAAGACATGCTAGCAGAGAGCTAAGGTGAAACATGGCTGGGGATGGCAGGCAAAAGGTGACTGACATGCTGTGAGCACAGCAGAGGAAGCTCGGCATCCATGTGCAGGGCTTTGTGTTTGGCAGAGCTTCCTGAACGTGGCTCCTTGCTGCCAGCCTCTTCAGGCAGAGGCTTGAAATCTGTTCTGTCATCTGCCATGTCAGCCTCTGCTGTTCCCTGGGGGGCAACAGTGCCCCTTCCTGACCCTGTCTGATCAGTGTCTGCTGCAACATGGTGAGCAGCTTGTTTTAAGAGATTTGACTCAGGGCTGTTCGTCTTGCTTTCAAATCCCTAGGGAAGGAGAAGGGTGGTGCCAGCTGCCTGCTTGTTGCTCCCAGTTACAAGCATTTCCTGCCCTCCTTGTCTGCACATCTCTCAGTAATGCTCTGTTTACTGCCCTAGTGCAAAGGCATTTGTTTTTCTTCTGCATTTGTAAATCAGAGCTGGTTCTCTGCTAGACGTTTTTTGTTATTTTCTAAATTAAAAAACAAAACAAAACCACAAAAAACCTACCAATAAAAAATGGATGGAATGGCTGGTCCCAGTCTGCTACAGCTCCTGTTCCACAGAGGTGTAGCCCTGTATTTTGAAGTAGACAGAGTGGTCTGTCAGCCCTTGTGTGGGCTGTTGCCCAGGTGTGAGCTGGAGCCTCTTGGAGCAGTTGTGCTGAGTTGAACCTTGTCTCCATCCTGTGTTAATAGCTTCCTTTGCTCTTTGTCCAGCTATTTCATCATTGAAGTGGTACCTCAGAGTACATGTGCAGTAGGAGGTGGAAAGAAGGGGATCCTATGTGATTCTCTTCACACGTGTGCATGGGTGGTGGGATCAAACTGCTCTGGCTCAAAGGTAGTGGAGAAACAGCCCTGGGCACAGCTGCCTTGTAGCAGGGCTCTGTCCTCACCCAGATACTCTGGAAAGCTTGCTCAGGTTCAGATGTGATCAAGAACTTAAGCTCCTACCACTCTGTGCATCTCGGAAACTAACAATACCAGAGCCTCTCTCTTAGTTGACTTTTCTTCCCCTCTCCCAGAAAAAAAGACTGGAAAAGAAAAGAAGAAGAGCAAAAAGGTGTCTTTGGAAGGGGAGCCTGTAGCAGATGGCTCTGCTGAGGTTCACAAGAAGAAGAAGAAGGTATGTGCAAGACCCTGAGATGAGATACTGTGGGGAGAGCTGTTCTGAACTGCAGTTGTGATGCTCATCCCTGCGGCATCCCAGGCTGGAGAGGAATAGATTCCTGTCCTGGCCTTGCTGGTTTTACAGAGGAGGCTGCAGTTAATTGCAGCTCATCTTGAGACACCCTGACCTTTGGCTGGGTGGGATTGGAGGGGCTTGAAGAAGGGTTTGTTCCTGTATCACTCCCCTGAGATCCTTTTTCCTGGAAGAGTCAAACCCAGGGGCCTTTTTTGATGGCAGAGAGCCAGCCCAGAGAGTGAGTGCTCTTCTTCAGCTTTCTGATCATCTAGTTGCTCTCAACAGAAGCTGGAGCTTCTGAGGGCTTGGCAGGCTTCTGTGTCCCATCCCAAGAGCTAGGAAGAGGGGCAGAGGGAGACTGTAAGATGTTCCCTGGAATGGATATGTCCCTGTAGAGATGGTAGCCAAGAAGCCTGTGTGGCTTTTGGCTTTGGGTCCTTCAAGTTTGTGGTGCAGATGATACTGATTTATTTTTCACCCTTTTCTTTTTAGAAGAAGAAAACAGCTGAGCCTGAAGGACTGTGAGAAGGTACATGGCCTGTGGCAACTGTCAGTTGGCAGCTCTGAACGGCGGTAACCTTGGCCAAATTCAGTTCTCCTGGGCCACTCTGGGGAAGACAAATGTGCCCTCTAAATGCTTGCTGAGTCAGCCTGGCTTTAGATTAAAGGGCCAGGGAGTGGAGCAATGCAAGGAAAGTCACACAGCAGTGTGCTGGCTTCTCTGGATGTGTTTGACCTCAACTCTTTAGCTGCTGAGAACTGGATGTCCAGCCTGGACGTTGCTGTCCTCTTGTCATCAGCAGAGATGAGTGGCCTCTGGCAGTGTCTGTCTGTCCCTGCTGACTCACAGGGAGCTTGGAAAAGTGGTGTGGATTAGCTGGTGGTGATGTAGCCACCTGGAAGTGGACAAGATGGCTCTGCCCCTGCTCTGCTCAGCTGTAAGGCTGTTGTCCTCCTCCCCATCCCTAACTCTTTTAACTCCTCTCCCCCAAAGGTACCGCATCCCTGTGATTAAGGATTTATGGGTGAAGATCAAACAGAAGAGAGGAAAAGAAAGCTCACCAGGAGAATTCCAACTTTTTTTTTTCTTAAATAATAATTTATAACTACTTTTAACTGTGACTTCTAGAGCAGAGTGCTGTAACTTTGTCTCTTCCTGCCCTGCAGGGGCCCAGAGATGTGTTCTTGCCCCCCTTGATGGCTCAGTTGTTGCACAGGAACCGAACTGAAGGAGGCAGTTTGACCAGAGAAGAGCCAGCTTGCAGAAACTGCTTTCCTCCTCGTTGACACCCTGCCACCTCTTACTCTTTCTCATCACAGAGTTATATTTTTAAGAGAAACTTTTACCTTTCCTCCCCCCTCTTCTGTGATTATAGTGGTGTCAGTCCTTTTGCTACTATGGGAGAGAGAAAACTCGGGTTTCATTTTTATCCTGATACTGACGACAGTGGTTATCATGTCCCTGGAGTTGCACTGAACAGCTGTGTCCAGCAGCTGTTCTCAGCCAAGATGGTGTAATTTTTTTTTTGTGGGGTTTTTTTAATGGAATATTAAATAAAATTAAAAAAAAAAAAGGTGATATGTTGCTTCAGCTGCTTTGAAGGGAGGGGAAGTGACCAAATCCAGGCCAGGGTGGCAGGGCCCCTGGTGGGGCTCAGCTGTCTTTGAAGGATTTTGGATGTGTAAGAGTCCACCTTCCACCTGTTTTTATAGGCACCACTTCAGCCCCTAGGGAAACATTAAGTGCTTCCTGAGGAAGTTCAGCTTTGAACTGCACGTTCTAGTGTTGGTTTGTTTTCTTTTTCATTACTAAAATGCTGTGCTGAGAGCAGGTTTATGCATCACCCTGCACAGCTCCAGCCTGCTGCCTCACTGGCAGCTGCTGCACCTTGTGCTGGGCTTGTGCCTGGTTTCTTTCCTTCACTCCCAGCTCTGGGGTTTAGCAGGTGAGGAAAAAGGGACCAGGGTCCCCTTGCTCTCCTCCCTCTGTTGCTGTGCAGCCTGGCTCCAGGCTCTGCTGGTGAGGGCAGAGCTCTTGGGTTGCCACCCTCACACCCAGGTGCAGGAGGGACATGGCTCCAGCCCAAGGGGCTGCTCCTTTTCCACCCCTCCCCACCCTGCAACTCACTTGGAGGTGATTTCAGCCTCCTGGGCCATGCTGGGATGCAGGGGAGCTTGAACAATTGATGGGCCAGGAATGTGGCCTATCCTGGGTGGAGGCACAGATCACCTGAGATGTGTTTTCCATTTCTTCTTAAGATAGGTTTATTTTTAACCTGGGACAGCTGCAAACTGCTAGAGTTGCTTGCAATGCTTTCTTATTTAAAAGTTTATTTGAAGTAATTAGCTTGTGAGGACACTTATCAAGGAACTATCTGATAGTCAGAAAAATTAGAAGCCACTCTACCTCCAGGGCCCTCCCCTCTGCCCACCCTCACCCATGGCCATGGCTGTGCAGCCTGTGTACAAAAGCTGAAGATGAGCATCTATCTACAAACCTGAGCACTCCACAAGAACCTTCTACACCAGTAATCTAACAGGGCTTCAGCCTTCCAGGGTCAGTTACAAAGCTGGTGGAGGTTGCTTTTTGCTGCTTTTTAATACTCATTCAGCATAAGAAAACATTAGCAGATCATTTTTCAGCAGGGGTGAGCTCTGCTGCTGCTGCCTGGGCACTGTAAGATGCTGATGAGCAAAAAGGAAGAGGATTGATGGGTCTGACACTGTTAAGATCACTTTCCAGCCTCCTTCACCCACTCTCTGAGGGGTCACTGTCCCTAGCACTGATCCTGGTGGCAGATGAGGCCCATCTGGTGCCCTGCAGCGGGGATGGGTGGCAACTGATGCCTTGAGGGGCAGGAGTGTGCAGGGGTGCCTACTGTTAATCAGCTCAGGAAAGCAAGGTAAGAGCAGAAATGCAAAAAAAATATAATGGGGTGGATGGGATGCTGAAGAGCCTGGCAGCTGCTGGTTTCCTCTTCTATTCTGTGGGGGAAAGAGAGGATGGAGTTGGTAAGGTGACTTGCAGGACCTCCCAAAAAGCCCAGGCTCCTTTTGCTATGCCCATCATAACCTCCACTGCCCCCTCGGTGCTTTTTTGGGCTGCTGTGGCTCTGTGGGGTGGACCTGTGCGTCCCTCAGACCCAAGGGCTCTCCCAAACACCCCACAACCACCCTTGGCCCTCACCTTTCTCTGCACCCAGCTTGAGCATGTCTACCCCAGAGAAGATCATCTCCTCCGGCTCCGCAGTGGTGGCAGAAGCAGCGGTGACATCTGCAGAGGGAGGGCAGGAGGTGGGTGTGGGACCCCTGGGCTGCCCCATCGCCCCCACCCCTCAGAGCAGCAGGGGGCCTGTGCCCACCCCCTGAGCCACACATTTTGGGGGCAAGGGGACTTGTGGATAACCTCTACTGCATGTCTACTCTCACTGCAGCTCGCCACAGAGGGCTGGGGATTTTAGGGTCCCCTCCAACTAACATGCTGGCACCAAGAGGGGCGTGGACACTGGCTGCAGCTGCGCCCTCTCCTCCCTAATCAGTAGCCAAACAGAGGGCAACATCCATGCACGCTGCTTGCTCTTCTCCTCCATCCCCTCCCTGGCAACCTACCAGGGCATTCCAGCTTTTCCCGAGTGGCAGTGCCCTCAATCTTGGTGCCATTTTTGTAGGAGCACCAGCAGTAGCCAGTGGAAGGATTGCACTGCTTGGGCATGTAGTCGCCGTTCTCATCGCACTGGGGGCGGAAGCGGCCGGGATGGACCCCCCTGGAATTGGCCTCAGCCTGGCACTTAGTCTGCACTAGGGCAATAAAACAAAGGGGGAGACACTGTGAGGGCCCCAGGCCCTTCCACAGCCTCTGCAGAAGCTTTTCATCCAGAAGCAGCTAATTAAATATAGAAAGAGGACAAGCCCCACCCTGGAGACCTTCCTAAAGCTCCATGGGCTGGCCAAGGAGTGAGGGGTGGGTGCAGTGCTCTGGATTTTCAGGTATTTGCTCATCCCAAATGACCTGTGGGCACTGGCTCTGTATTGTTCTAAGTGACACCAATCAGAAGTTCCCCATGCAATGAAATGATCCATGAGTTTGGTGGCCTTTGAGAAGCCCCATGCTGGCACCTCCTGGGGGGTGGTTTCTCCCAAAGGGCCAGTCACCCAGCTCAGCAGCCCCCATCCCCAATACCTTTCTCTGCTGGGATCGCCTTGTTCTCCTCCACCTTGGGGTTCTTGGCCATCTCAAACAGCAGCCACTTGTGCATCCAGGATTCAAAGGCCTGTAGCAAGAAGAACCAGCACATTAAGTGGCATGGGGTGGTGCACCACAAGAAGCCATGCTGCAAGCTCCAGCTTGGGCTCAAGATTGCTGTGAGCACCACCACCTCCCTTAGAGTGGGGGCAACTCAAGCTGGACTTTGTTTTTCCAGGTGGGCACACTCCAGTCCCTCCCCAAAGCAGGGTGCTCCTGGAAGGAGAAGAGTAGGACAGCAGCAAGCACTGACCTTCCAGTCTGCACCAGTCATGGTCTTCTTCAGGCTCTTCAGGTTGTCCATCAGGTTGTCCTTCAGCTCTGGGAACATCTTCCCGGGGTCTGCTTGCTGCAGAGTGAGACAAGGCAAAGAAAAATGAGGTGTGGGGGGTGAAGCTCTGCTTGTATCAACCAGCTGGGAGGCCAGGAGCTCTCACCAGCTCTAAGTGCACCCAGAGACACCAGAACCAACCAAGACACAGCTTGAAGCTGGAAGCAGAGGGTCCCATCGCCTCCTGCAGCACAGGGCCCAGCTATGGAGTGTGTAGAGGAATGGGGGAACCTTACCAGCAGCAGGTGCTTCACTTGGTCCTCAGTTTTGTTGCTAGCAGGGGCCATGTCCTGAAGAGAAAAGGCAAAGGGGCAGGGTGAACATGAGGACGGGCAGCAAGCCCCAAGGGCAGCAGGCAGCAGCAGTAGGCATCTCTTACCATGTCAGCTACAGATGGGGCAAGAGGCAGGACCCTCATGGCCAGGGGGGTGTTCACCATGGCCATCTTCATTTTGTTCACTGGCTTGGCACCTGTGGAGGAAGGAGCAGTGTGAGGGGTACTGAGTCGGGTGGTCCCAGGGAGACCCGTCCCTTCTCCCCGCCACGCCGGTGGCTGCAGAGCTACTGACTGGCAGGCATCTTCCTCTGCAGTGCCTCCAGCTGCAGGGTCTGGGAAGTCTTGGTGAGCTTGCTGATCTGCCCGCTCTGCTGGTAGACGAAGTAGACGGTGACGGCCTGGCCGGCGATCAGCAGGGCCACCAGGATGGAGAGCGCAGAGAGGCCGGCTCTGCGGCCCAGCACGGACCTGCGGGACAGCAGGAGGGAGCTCAGCCCCAGCCTCTGGCAGGAGATGTCCCCATACCCTGCTACCACTGCCCCCCGGATCTCTCCTGCAACCCGCGTCCCCCCCTCGCCACCCCAATCGCCCCCTCCCAGGGGCTCCGCAGCCACACAAATGCAAATTCCCCACCCATAGGGGTGCAGAAGTGAAATCTCGGCGTGAAGCTCATTCCTCTGCACCAGGGGAACCGAAACCCGCGGCAGGGGGCGAGGGGGGTGGGCACGGGTGGGTACCCGAGCGCCACGGAGGGGCTCTGGGCACCGCAG